GTAGCTCCAGGGGACGAGATGAGGAGGGAAATTGTTTTGACTTGTGTGACGCTCTCCTCATCTTTCCCAAATGACATGCAGAACAATGATGGTTGGGGGAGTTCTTCAGAACAGGCAGTCCTTTCACCAACTTCTTCGAGGAGAGGGAACTGATGGCTGGCAGATTCAAGTGTGAGAGACGTCTGTGTCATAGATTACTTTGTTCTTCAGATGCTTTGGACAGGAGACAGATGGATATGGGGGATCGTACCGTTTTCAGATCAATGGTGTAGAGATTGGTTTTCCTCTGACACCTTAATAATGGTGTCCCACCCATATCCATCACACAACATTGCCTAGCATGGAATCTCACTTCCATTCCATTATCACAAAATTGTCCGATGCTAAGCAAGTTGTGCTTCAGTCCCTGCACATACGACACATTTCTGATAGTGACGCTCTCACAAATGACATCTCCTATCCCGAGTATGGGCGATGAAGCATTGTTCCCAAACCTCACATTTCCTCCAAATCTTTCAGAATAGTTGCTCAGTAGTTCAATCTGTCCAGTCATGTGTGACGAGCAACCCGAATCAAGATGCCACACATGACTGACCTGCCACAGATTAGTTTCGCTTAGGTACCCATCGCCAGATGGGTCCTTCCTTATCAACAGTGAGCAATTGTTTCAACTTCTTTTTGATTTGGGATCCTAGGCTGGCTGATTGAGAAGAGTTTTTCATTTTTAATTGTTCTGCTTCAGCCTTAGGAACCCATTTTTGTTTTATTTGAATGATTTTTGGAGCGAGGGAACATTCATTTGTCCTAAGTGATTGTTCAGATAAGTGATCTTTCAAAATTGGTTCACGTGATAGCCTTCTCAGATGTTTGACTGAGTGAATCTTGAGAGGATACCTTAAAAATGGCAATTTGACCTCACTCTCAACATTCACCTTATCAATCTTGGGCTTGTTCACAACATTATCAACAATCACAGAATCATTAGCTTTGCGAGAAGAAACAGACTCAGAACAACAACATTTCATTGATTTAATGCAATTCAGAGAAACACATTTAGTACAGCGATTCGAGACAGAAATCTTAGAACTAGAAGACTTAGGAGCCACTCTTCTAGTATAACTGGTAGAAGGCTCACTAATGCTAGAACTAGACTTATTCTTAACATAAAATATGGCGCTCGACCGCTGACACTTATTTCTTAATCTCGACTCTTCTTCTCTCTTATTCCTTCTTATTTTGTCTTCAATCCACTCTCCTTTCTTCTCGACTCTCTTCTTCACATCTTTCCCTGTCGGAGAATGAGACTTGGGATGAGAAGAGGAAGTCTTATAACTATCGCTTGAATTTTCAGAAGTGTTTTCAGAACAAGAAAGGGAAGAGGGTTGAGAAGCTGTATTAGACTGAGAGGCGGTTTTCAAAGAGGTTATTTCTTTTAAAAGTTCATCCTTTTCTTTTTCTAAAACCTGCTTTTCCTTTTCAAAAGATTCTTTTAACTCAGCAAACTTTCTCACCAATGGTGGAATGTAAGCTGGTTTCTCAATTAGTTCAGATGTGGAAGCCTCCTCTCCGTCTTTCACAGCTTCCTTTTCAGGAGGATAGGTCAAGATTTCTTCAGCAGGGGTCAAAGGGAGTGCTTTGGTTTTGTAGCTCTTGTTTAACTCTGTGTAGTCAAAAGGAACCTCGACACCAGCCTTTGTCTTTCTCTTTTCATCCTCAAGGGCATTCGTTTCTTCAGCACCAGTGAAGGCCATGAGTTTGGTCAATCCTATTTTCATGTATCTAACATCATAGAGTTTTCTACAGTTCACCTTTTTCAGGTTCTGAGGATTGGTCAAACCCAAGCCTTCTTTGGCGTTATAGAAACGAGTGTCCTTAGGCTGGTTAAGGAAAATAGTCTGATCTGTTTGGTCCCTTTTGGCTAACAGATCCTCAAGTTCTTTGATTTTAGTATACAGAGCACCCCTTCTTTCCATTAGCAAATTATTGACGCCAAAAAGTCTAATTCTCTCTTTCTCAGTTGTTCTAACCTTCTCTGTCAGTTCTTTTTCGCTAGCACTAAGTCTCTTATTTTCTGTTGTGAGCTTAGTGATTGTTTTCTCTGAATTGATTATCTTAATGTTTGAGCATGTCTGTTTTTCACGCAGTTGATTATATACCTCATACAACCTTTTGTAATTCACCTCTAGCTCCTTAAATTTATCATGCATATCAGTTCTAGAGCAAGTATGGACAGATGAATTAGAGGTACTTACTTCATTGTCAGCATTCCTGTTCTCAGCAGACAGGGCAGTCATTACATCAGCATTGGTTGCAGTAGGCAGGTTCTTCTTCTCCTCAGCTTTGTCTTTCTCCTTCTTTTCCTCAGCAGCAGGGGTTGACTTCATCTTTCCTTCCTTTTCAACATCCTTCTCTTTCTCTTCTTCTTCAACAACTGCCATCAAGGCCATATTCTCTTCTTCGTCAGAGTCATCCATCCAGTGATCTTTTTCAGCCATGAGGGCACTCTTCTCACTATTTTCTTCCATTGCCAGCAACATCTTCTTCTTGTTCAGATTCATCTTCTGCTTATAGTATTCAGCATCCTTCCTCCTCTTTGGCATCCTGCAATCCTTCATCAGATGTCCAGTCTTCCCACAATTGAAGCACTTTGGAGCATCCTCAGCAACAACATTCTCAGAAGAATCAAAAGATCGCTCTTTTCTTTTGTTGTTGCCGGTAGAGGACTTGCGGAGCTTGTTGTTAGAGGGGTTCTTCTTCTTCTGCATTTGGTTGTTGAACCTTGAGGTAAGAAGGGCTATCTGCTTCTGAAAATCACGCAGCTCATCATCATCAGAATCATCCCAAAATCCGATGTCACTATCAGCACTTTCACTTTCATCAGCTATCATCTTATCTTTCTTGGAACCAGACTTTGATGGCTTGTCAAGCATTAGGGCAAGGGTGTCAGCTAGCTTGTCCACAGCTCCCTTCCCCTTGTCAGCTGTCACAGTAGCGACCACGAAGTCAGAAAAATCTTCTGCATACTGGTCAAGTGTATTGTACACAGCATGGATGTCCATTTCATCAAGGTCTTTCGTGTGCCTTATCTGTGAACTCAGCTTCTTCCAGTCAGCTCCAAGAGAAGATAGAAATCTCACGTTCAGTTCCATATTGGACTTATGCACGCCAATCTTTCTCATCTCATTTATCAATTGCAGAAATCTCAGGTAGGTGTCTTCGAGTGATTCTCCAAGCTTGGCTTTGAACGAGTCGTATGCTGTAAAAGTGCTGGCTTTCTTAGCTTTCACTCCTATCTCCGTTCCTTGCATGATCTTAAAGATCTCATCCCACATCTCTTTTGCAGTTGACATGCTGTCAATCTGCATGTAGATGTCGTTCGGGATGGCCTGCAACAGATAGGTCTTGGCAATGAGATCTGCACGGAGTCTTGCTCTGTCCTCGTCATCGTACTCATCGACAGTCTTTGGTCTCCATTCTATCTCAACTGGCGGGTTGTTCCCGTTGTCTCTCTCAACAGCTATCATCAATTGAGCAGGTCCGTTTGTGATAGAGTCAAGAAGACCGGAGGATTGGTCCTTGCTTTCAAGAAAATTTAAGAATCTGTTCTTCCACACATTGTACTCACCCCTTCGTAGGATTGGGGGTCTTGTATCATTTCCAATAGATAGGGCATCCATTTTACAATTGATCGGGCTGATCAGTTGATTGAATAGGTTCTGTTCTGTTGTTTGAGTCTTCAGTCAGATGTCTTTGTTCTGGTTGCAAAGTGTCTAAATCGGGCAAGGTGTTGAAGGATCGCTCAACTTCACTAAGATCGCTAAACTTTACAAACAATCTCTCAACTTTACAAAAAGATCGCTCAAGTTTACAAAAGATCGCTCAACTTGTAAAAAGATCGCTCAAGTTGAAAAAAAAAGATCGCTCAACTCTTTACAAGATCGCTCAACTTGTCAAAAGATCGCTCAACTTTAAACAATCGCTCAACTTAAAAGATCGCTCAAGTTAAGATCGGGCAGGTATGTTGCGCGAAGTTCAGATCGCGCAGGAGCTGTTTTGCGCTATGTTGGGATCGCTCAACCTGTGAAAATAATGGTGCAAGTCCTGAATCGCGCAGGAGTACTTGCGCGAAGTGGAAATCGCGCAGGAGGATGGCGCTAGAGTGAGATCACGCAAGTATTGTTGCGCGAAGCTCGAAATCGCTCAGATGCTCAGTTGCGCGAACCTGTTCTTCTTTTTCAGCGAGTTGCGCGAAAATGCAGGATCGCTCAAATCTGGCTGAACCTGTACGCCAAATTTCAGATCGAGATTTTTCGCAGAAATGATCCCAGCAAGCCTAGAAACACTTTCCTTCAAGCATTTTCCTACAAAAATATCAACAAAAACAGAACAGAAGATCGCTCAAGTGCGAAACTTCAACGATGAAGAATCGCGCAGGAGTGATTTTCAGCCTTCAATCGATCGATCAGCTCCGGCTCTGATACCAGATGTTAGGTCCCTGTTTTCTAGTCTATAAAATGTATGTATGGAAGATAGATCTGGGAATGAAGCTTTCCATTGATGTGATGAAGAAGTTTACAGAATGATATGAAACTTAAGCGTAAAACTTCTATCACGAGAATAGGCACTGCGGCATTAGGAATATCGAAAAGCTTAACCTAGCCTTTCCCTTAAGGCATATATATAGCCTGACGGGAAAGGTAGGTTTTACAATCATTTGGGCTCCTTTTTCTAGGAGGCCCATACCTAAAAGGTATAAAACCTTTTATTACAAATTGCCTTAAAAGGCCTATTCATTATTCTAGCTAGTCTATTTAATTAAGATGCTAAATATAAATAGCTAAGAAACATTGATCACAATATAATGAAAATATCTCTAACATAAAGTCATTTACATCAAATATATAGCTTTTGTATTGATAAGTAATATTAAAATCACAATGTAATGTACCAAATTTATACCAAAAAATATAATATTATATTAACATTTACATCATTTCTTACACGTTTTTATATGTATTTACACCATTTGTAATGTTGTTTACTCCGAAACACAACATCAATTACATAAAGCATAACATCAATTACATCACACTTTTTACAGGTAATTACAAAAGAATACACTCTCATATACCATGGTATAACAATGGGTCAAGCACCCATCATAATCATTAAATACATAACCCCACACAAAATCAAATCCATAAAACACATACTCCGTATTAGATAAAAGAAAAAAATAATGTCCCCAAACTATTTAATAACTAGATACTCAGTATATTTTATACAAATGACCATCTGCAACCCATTACTTTGCCTAAAGGATCAGAATGGTCAAGTGAAAATGGATGGATGACCGAGTTTTCGTTGACATCAACAATCATTTAAGGGCAACAATTTGAGGTTCATGTCATTTGTACTTTTCAAATAAGGTTTATCTGTTGTACTAGAACAATAATTTGGGACCCACCATACCCTGAGGCTTCTGTCAAGACTCCCACTATACAACATAAACCCACCCCCAACACAAACTGGTGAAGCCTGCAAACATCTAACACCCCCTTCATGTCCCTTTATAACCCCAACCTTAAACAACCCTCCATCAATTCCCATCTTCCATATACCAATGCTCTTATCAGCTGAGCCAGTGCACAAGAAGTCCCCCATCACACACAAGGACAGAACAGACATTTCATGTCCCTTCACTTCACAAACCCTTTTGTTCCCCAAGGTCCATCCCATCAAATACCCATCTGAACATGCCCCATAGACCACATTACCAGAAACCACAACTGCATTGAATGAAACTTCTTTGTGCCCTTCCAATACACCATTCAATGAGTGTCTGTTCTTCCCTTCCCTCTTCCAAACTTTGATTTTCCCATCAGCAGAAGCCGAATAGACCGACCCCTCAACCGCGACCAGCCCATTTATCGCATCGTCATGCGCCTTGATTGACTCGAGACACTTCAAATCTGAAATCCTCCATACCTTCAGGGTCTTGTCCCAAGAACCTGGGGGAGAAGAGTTGTAGTATTGAGCGAAAAACTTTATTAGTTGCAACCCAAGTTATAAAGTTTTTTGCTGAGGACTTGAGTACTTATTAGTTACTTACAATATACAAGTAACAGAAAACAACAATAAATGGCTAGTAGTTACTATTCTCTTTCAAAGAAGTCATGTTTGACCAAATGTACAACGTTTTAAATTTGGTGAGATTTATTTTGCTACAACCTTTTGAATTTGGTGACATGTCACAAATCAGGAGTTTCACTTTATTTTTGTCTAGGTGGTCTCACTTAATTTATTATATTTAAGTTGTTTGGTAATGTTTTTTGTTTGTTTTCTGACAAAATTACATTAAAGTTAGCTTGAATCAATCAAACTAATTTTTCTTTTTTTTGGAAAATACCAATTTTTTAAAATGAACTCTACTTTTGGCACAAAGGAGCAGGCGAGTATAATATTTAAAACTCTATAATATTACTAAAATAGAACACATTGTTAAAGATATGACTAGATGTTCACTACATTTTGCCAAAAAAAAGGGAAGGACATTGTGGCATGACATTTCCCTCAATCCCAAAACTTATCTTCATATTTCATTTTTCATCCATTTCAGAATAAACTTCATAGTATAATTTTTTTAATCTATTCTACACAAACTTAGAGCATTACAATCCATCAGTAATAAAAGAAGAGTGATTAACAGAACCGTTAATTACCTGAATAGACATAACCATTATGAACAGCCAAACAAGAGATACTATCAGCGTGTTCGATCCACAGCTTCTTGTGATGCCTTCTGGTCTGCACATAGTTACTCTGCCTCATAAACCTCCCCAGATAATCCTTTGTAGTGGGAAGACTGTCAACCAGCCGAAACAGATTCTCCGATTTACTCGAAACCTTCCACACCCTGATTCTGCTGTCCTGATGGGCCGTGAAGACTCTGTTACCGACCGTTAACAGCGCCTTCACGGAGCCGTCTCCGTGGCCGAACTTGGTGAACCGGCGCAAATCCGGGTGCTGCCAGACTATGATGTCTTTTCCCTGAGAAGCGCTGAGGACGAACTCCCCGCACAGGGCTATGCAGGAAACGGATCCGACGTGGCCGGAGAGAATCGCCAGGCATTTGTGGGATTGCGGGGAGGAGGCCGGCGGATTCGGGACTCTTGAAATCGGGCAGAAGTCGTGTCTTCTTGACGGCGATGGGCTTTCATCCAGATCGCTGCTGGCGTTGCTTGTACTGCTCCGACTGCTGCTGCTTGTGGTGGATGATGGAAAAAGGTTCGATCTTGGGTGTGACATTTCGGTCCTAGCTTGTTCTTGATGAAATGCAGGGGATCGGAGGAAGAAGGCAATGAGGCAAGGGATCTTTTTTTTTCTTCTTTCAGAGAGACGTTATAATGGAAAAGGTAAGATGGAGCCAAGTTTTTGGGTACTTTAGGAAATCAATGAGGGAGTGCGTTGAATTACAACAACTAATTTTAAACTTTAAAGAGAGCTACGGGGCAACGGCCATATTATGTATTAAAGTAGGTTCAAATGATACATATAGATTTAGGCTCTGTTTGCAATTACTTGTGCTTAAGGCTTTGTTTGCAACTGCTTAAATAAAAGCACTTTTGGAGAAAAAGTGATTAGTAGTAAAAGTTGGTAGTGTTTGGTAAAATAAGTGTTTTTTGTGTAATAGAAAAAGTAAAAAGTAGATTCTTTACGGAAGCCGAGAAAGTAAAAGTTGGTAGTGTTTGGTAAAATAAATTATTTTTTTCTTAAAAAAAAGTTAAAAACACTTTTTTTAATGGATTGCAAACATACCCTAAATAAAAGCACTTTTTAGGAAAAAGTGATTAGTAGTAAAAGTTGGTAGCGTTTGATAAAATAAGTGTTTTTTGTGTAATAGAAAAAGTAAAAGTAGATTCTACACGAAAACCGAGGAAGTAAAAGTTGATAGTGTTTGGTAAAACAAGTGCTTTTTTCTTAAAAAAACCAAAATCACTTTTTTTGATTGATTGCAAACAAGCCCTCACTAGTTTCATATACATGTAATACTCCGTGTATTATAAAATTCATGGAGCTAATAGCTCAATCGGATGTCATTTTTCAAGTTTAGATAGTGCTTATTTCCAAGAATTAACTTTTCACTCGTAATGATTTACTTGAATTTTTTTTTAACCAGATTTACTTGAGTTAAAACACACTAAACCAGAGGTATTTCAATGTTGTGAAGGTTACCTGAACAGGAGCAAAAAGAATCTTTATTACTTAAGTAAGAATAAAGTTAAAAAAATTCCAAATAAGAGTTATTGTTTGTAGTTGTACAGAAATATCCCTCAAACTTGGAAAAAACCGTTATCGACACAAACTCAGAGTGTCATCGGCCACCGTTGCAGATTTGGCCGTTGTGATTGCAAATATGGTTGTCATCGCTGCACATCTGGCCGCTACTGCCGTAGATCTAGCCAGATCTATCCACCCCCGTAGATCCAGCCTCCGCCGCTGCAAATTTGGTAGATGTCGCCGCTGATGCCAACACTTTTATCAGAATGACAACATGAATCGAGAATGTCATCTTAATGAAATTTTCAAAGAAAAATATGATTTTTTTTTTACATTTTTTTAACAATTGAAAGAAAATTTTAGCTATTAAACAATTAATATATTTGTACTAAAACAAATTGAGCTTTTATCATTTACATAAAATCATTGGCTCACATAGTTTTTTTAGTAAATCATTGTGATTTCAATGCAAGCTAAAACCAAAAGTAGCTAAATCGAGGTTAGGAGAAGGTGTTTAACCGCTTTTGGTTTTTCTCATGAGGAGCTACTAGCTAAGTTATGGTGTTTCCCGCCTCATTTTTATAAAGTAGTAGAGAAAATAAACAAAGAGGGACACTTGTTTCTAGTAAGGATTATTTAAATGGTGAGGGCTGGTTCGTGGTTTTGCTCTTTCCGATGGTGAAAGGTGCAAGCTAGCTATCCATGTGCTCGGGTCGCATGTCTGTTTGTGTTTTGGCTTGTTTCTTTTTGCTTTGGATTGGTTTGGTCGCTGGTCACTGTGAGCCAAAGAGATACAATTGCTCGTGTTTGGAGACCTAGGAGTGTTTCTGACTTTCTGTAATACCTCTTAATTATATTTGAGGGATATTTTATTAGTTTATCCTTCGGGAGGAAACATCTTTTAAGGAAAATATAATGTGACACTCTAAAAAATTTAATAAAATAAATATTAAGTGAATGAGATATAATGTGTTGACTTGAATAACAAAAGTGACGTTTTTATAAGAGGCGATAATTATACATATGACATAAATAATAAAAGTGACATTTTTACAGATTCTAATTTAAAGATATTAGTTAATAATGTGTACAAAAAATATGTATATATACGTACCCTAAATACCACACAAAACAACAAGGTTAGAACAATTGACATTTTAAACCAAAAATACAAATGCCTAATAATAATACGAACTCATATATAACAATAATATGCATATAGACCTGCGTTGCCAATTGCCCCGCATATACTTACGAGTATATAGCAATGATAGACATAAATACCAAGTTACGTACGTGCTGGACCAACGGCCAGCAAACCCACTGATGTGTGTTTTCTCGCACTTAAAATAAATCGTAATATAGTGGTGTAAGTACGAGTATCGTCTCCACAGGGACGGACAAAAGTGAATCAAGAATTAATTAAATTCAGCGATTAAAATAAATAAATAAATAAAATAAATGCGCCGTGCGAGATATGATTGGTATGAAAAATTAAAATGCAACTAAACGATTAAAATAAATGGGTTCTCTCTAATTAATGACGAAGGGAACAGTGATTGATTCTGGGGTAACCAGATTTCTGGCAGATCATGCCTAATTACATGAAATTAATTCAATTAAGCCTAGCTAATCATTACTAAGTTCTTACCGCTCTCGCGACGTAGAGTACAATAATTTAGGGGACCAGGCTGATCTCTCATGCGACACGATCCTAATTATTGCCAAGACGAGCGAGCTTACGGCCCCTTAATCGCTACTAATCTCTTAGCGAACGATTAAGTGTGTGTGAAGGTGTCCTAAAATAAACTAGATCTCTCTTAATTTATTCTACAAGCAATTGTAATTCTAGCGCGTGTTCTAGGTTACAAAAGATATCAGTTAAATTATTCAAACACAAATTAAACGGCATTCATGCAATTAATCCATCAAGAAACTAGCCATACATCATGATCAACCCCTTCATCAATCCCAATCCCTAATTAAACTACTCACAATTCATAATTGAAGAATCAATAGAATTGGGAAGAATAGAAATAATTGTCATTAATTAAAAAGGTGGAACTTACAAAGAATCCCAAAAGATTGATGAACAAGGCTGAAAAGCCCTCTAAAATTGGTGCTAGGCACTCTCTCTAAGCTCCCACTTGAAAATGGGGGTTTACAGGCTGTTTAAATAGAAAATTCGGGTGAAATTTGAGCTGAATTAGGATTTTCGGAGCCAGGCACGATCGTGCCTTCGATCGTGCCTCCGGAGCAAAAACGCGCATTTTGGGCAGGCATGATCGTGCCTCCCTCCAGGCACGATCGTGCCTGGCTGGCAGTAACTCCGCGGTGCTTTCTCTTCATGCACGATCGTGCCTGACTTTGAGGGCACGATCTTGCCTACTTAACTTCCGAATTTGGCAATGCTTCCTTCATGAAAGTTGTAGATAATGAAGTCCTCTATCCACCCCAAGTTGATGAATGTGATTTGAATCATCCAATCAAGAGATATGATCAAAAAGGTGGAAGGTGTCTTTTTGAAATCGCAGCAGAGATCATCTGACTTCATCGTCTGTTTTCACCTTCTTCCTCTCAGATTCTCGCAAAGGTGTCTTCATATCATTTGTAGCCCTTGAAGTTAGCTTTCATATGGAACTTTAATCGTGTACATTGGATGTTTCTACAAAAGAGATATGCTTGAACGATTGACAGAAGGTCATCCTGATCGTCGTTTTCAAGCTTCATTCATCTTCTTTTGACCCCGTAGCCAATCCTAGAGCTCTTTTTCCTTCAAATTTTCATCGTGAATCTTCCGGTGACCTCCAAAGCTATCAAATCATTCTCAAATGCTTCTCAAATCATCCCGATTGTTCCTCAAGTGCCGATACCCGGGCTCAAATTCCCTGAGTTTGACTACAAACAACACAAAACTCGGACCAACGCCCGGTAAACATAACTTGACCTAAAATTGAGACTTGAAACACCTTAAAGCTGGGAAAACCATCAAAATTAAATCCCAACACACATCAAATGCGTGTCTAAATACGGACTTATCACCCACCTGCGTAAGCCTAGCCAACCGTTCCCAAAATGCCAAAAATACACATAGGAAAGGAGTTGAAATAATATATACTTCATATAATGCATATAGCATACGCACATGTATGACTAAGAAGAAGCCAAGATTTCCAACTCACTCAAGACACTCATCGTTGCCTCGAATCCTCCATTTATCACTATAATAAATAGCATCCTCAAACCTGCGATTTCTTTCACTCACAAACCAGCGTTTGGTATATATTACCACAAAATTTAGAAAGAAAACGAAAGTGCGTAAGAGAGAAACAATCGCTAGGAGAGGGAGGAGTCGTTCTCCGGAGTCTGCCGGGCTGATTTTCACATCTAGAAACGGAGGGCGAAACGGAGCTGCAGCTGCAACCAGTCCACTGCTGCCTTGCCGGCAAATTCCTCTACCGCCGTCGTTCCACTCGTCCGTCTTCGGTGAGGTAAGCCGACGTCCTCTGCGTTTTCTTCATTTCCGGCGACTAGGTGTAGAGGATAAGCACTACGATGTATAATTACGGTTGGAATGCTACTCATTTAATCTTACAGTTGATCCGGACTACTTTTAACCTTAAACCAGGCTACTACTTATTAAACTAAAGCAGTGATACTGTATTGTTATATCATGACATCAACAACAACAACTCAATAATACTATCGTAGTAGTAGTAATAATAATGATAAGAAATAATAATAATAATAATCTGCAAATCTAACAACAAAAACTGGGATAGATGGAAATGCTTAAAGATGAAATCGGATTGACTAGAATAATACGAAGTAATTGTTACTGTTATCACTTGTTAGTTGGTATAATTTCATAAGGTATAATAATTAATGGATTTATTAAACAGAAATTTAAGCACTCAAAACGTTTCATAATTTTAACATATAATATGAATACTAAATATTATAATACTATAGTGTATTTATGTTTCGACTAGTCAATCATTACTACATATTAGATTGATACTATTTTGGATGAATGATTTGTAAGGAATCATGTTAAATAATATATCCGGCCGGACAGCTGGATACTATTTTATTATTTCAGGTATTTTAAATGATATAAGACTATAACGTAATTGAATTAACTAAGAATAAACTGAAATATTAGATACTCGTATAGAGTGCTTAAATTCAGAAATA